CAACACTTGCGTCCGGCGATGCTGTTGCAAGCACTGCCATCATGTCGGCTATACTCCGTACGATAGTGTATAAAGAATTTGTTAAAGTTGATATATTTTTTTGCAAATTTATCGAACCGCTGACATCTCTTCGTTCCTGTCGTCAATACCTGTTATCAGATCGATCAGTGGAACGTGTAGGCTTACAGAACAAAACCCAAAACGCCCTCTTCCCTCGAACCTCGCGAAAAACCACACACATGCGAAATCTAAGTAATCGAAATCGGGATTGCACATTTGCTGATTATTACACAGGGCAGTCAACTTTCTGGTGGGTCAAAGCGAATAGCAGTCACAAGTGGCATTCGCATCGGGCAGCATAGCCGTAACCCTCGCCCGTTCTGATACGGCCACTTCAGAACTCCACGCTATTCCTGTCGTACATAAGTCACCGACTTAATACCCGCTTCTTGGCGGCTGGGGTTAATCCCTTGCATGGCAGAATTCACGATCACGATGAAGGTTGTTCCTTTAAGCGGATTCGAACCCAGCATCTCCGGAATTTGAAGTCGGTCTCCTATCCACTGTGCACCAAGTCCTGGAGTCAAAACTACTTCCTTTTCTATTCTGATTCTATTGATGGACTTAAAGGCACTCTGTAACAGGTTTCGGTTTGTCGATCGATTGAAAATCAATACAATGAAGCTCTGAACAGTTCTGACTGTAATTAATGCAGCGTCGGCAGCAGCCGGGTCAGATGGCCTGCTTTTTCTTCATGCAGTTTCTCGGCACACTGTAAGACAGAAAATAGTCGTACTTTACTAGGAGATGCAAAACAACATGTACACATAATAACAATCTTCTCGATCACCGGGAGGGTCCATTTGTACAGAACTGACTTTCATTTCTCTATGGGGCCAATCAATCCAATCAGCGATAACCGGGTATATTTTTTCTTATCACGTGGTTTTCGCTGGAACCGGCAGACAGAGTTGGAATGGTGCAGCAAGCCAGAGCATCTTCACTTGGCGAGAAGGATTTTTTTGTTTCATTTTTCCATTGAATTTCGCATATCACAGACGCCTGCGACATCTTCAATGTTTTTTACTTATATCTGATATTATTCCAAGTTGTGTCCAAGACCATTAGCAAACCGTCGTGAGTAGTAGTCGAGACCATTCGCCAAGATCAAATGAAATAGATAGCGCAAACGAACAAAATAGCCATTAAGTCCCGCGGCGACTCGAACTACGGCGGAATACATCGTACGACTGGCGGATAAGCGATGGCTTTCAGCAGTATTACATTCATACTCAAAGAGCTCCAAGTGTCGAACTCGAGGCAGCTCAAATAGGCGATATTTCAGTAGAGAGGCACAAAAGCCTTTGGCGATAAAAAAAGCTAACATTGGCATCAATACTAAACAGCGATGATCCCAGTAAATTGTGATAATGAACAAGATGTTTTTATTTTCCCTATTCCAAGAAACTTAACAGCAGACGCCATTAATCTATAAAGGACAGTCCTACTTACAGATAACGAAGCAAAGACATAAAGTTTGACGAAGAAATTTGATAAGATATGGTACCAAATTAAACAATGTGGTAAAATATGAGAAGAGAGGCTGTGTCAGAGAAGTACATTGTTCTTACCTACTAAATTCAAGATTTTGCTATGACGATTATTAAAAGTATGTTTGTGGAGGCAGAAGAATTCCGTGTTCGGTTTCAGGTCTATTAAGGGCCGGCACGTAGCCACTTTCCCGCCGTATCATAAATTGGTTACAATTCATAATGCATGCTCTACACAGAAGATAGCGAAGTTGCAGAGAGTGCAAATGAGAACGAAGTCGAGTCTCCAGTTGTGAGCCGTTTTGCAAGAAAATCCATACAATAACACTGAAGGAATGTCTGAAAATATCATATGCATTCATTAACACCAAAATATTTTCGTATGCCAGAATATGTCAAATAACGAATAATGCCTGCAAGATCAGATTTCACGGCTTGTTGCACTGGTTTGCTTCTGGTTGCCTAGAGAGCCATTTAAACAGGCCACCATTCCATGGCATTAAGCAATTACAACGCTACATACATTTCGCCTCATTGCATCCTACCAAAAGCACATAGTTCTAATTATCATGAACTTTCAGGAACTGGTACTACTGCTTTGCTACGTATAAACATCAAAATATGTCCTTAAGTCTGAGTACTTCTGCTAACGGATAACTCATCTGAGGCCAAATTTCGCAGCATACTGCATCAGTATATTTTCATAATTGCTTGGGAGAAGGTGAAAGGAATATTAAGCGGTTCTGTGGTATTTGAGCACCTGAATTGCGCCGTGAAATATGGTCGTTTAGGAGTGCTCTTCAATTCAGCATACCTGGCATACGAAACTATTCTATCTATGCGGTAGCATATAAAGATCGCAACCTCCCAAAATATTCAATTCATGAATCTGAGCGGCTGTATTAAAAAATTATGATAAATGCAATTGACACTGTTGATTCCCTAATGGCATGAAGTCTTCGCCTGCATAAATGGCCTCCATGGACAACTACGACGCGGGCATTGAAATACACCCTGAAATCTGGGCTATAGAGTAGTCATGGCTAGCTGCACATTAATATATGAGTCAAGTGCACCACAGTAACGTGCTGGTTGAATAACAGACTTTCTGAGTCATGCATTTTTGTCAGACGCAGTTCTACATCATTAACAACTCAACATATTACTCTTGCACATCCAATTGTCTCTCAATCTATTTGTCTCATGAACCTTCCATTCGATAGTTTGTTCGTCTGTTCTTACGTCGCTCTGTTCGTTTTGAGAACTCTTTTCTCTCTTGTATTCCACCAATGGAGAGAAAGATCTTTCAGAGAGATCAAATAGACGTGTCAACAACCCGTATTTCGTTGAGGACAATAGTAGTTGCAGAAGAGAAAAAATAAAAAGATTTTAAAGCTTATAAGATGAGAAAAACATGGGCATCTAGATTTACGAAAAGAAGCAATCTGTGTATTCGTTCACCCTCGAGTGGTGGCCAAAAACTACCCGAGCGGGAAGCGAAAGTAGAGAAGTTCGACTTCACGTTAAAGTAAACTTGTCTGGTGTGGATCCTGCACATTTTGGAAACATGGATGAAGTGCCCGTTAGCTTTGATTAACCTGGTTCAAGGATAGTTAATTTCGTAGGATCGAAAGAAGTTTCCGTAGCTACAATCGGACATGAGGATTTTACTGTGGTGTTAAGTGTGACTTCCATTGGTAGGATGCTTCCTCCCTTGGTTATATTTAAGAGATAAACAGTGTCTGAAGGAAACTTTCCGAAAGGCATTTAGACTGTTGCGAATGAGAAGGGGTGGGTCAATCAAAATATAGTGAAAAAGTAGGTTGAAAATATTTGAAGTAAAAGAAATCAGGCCTTTTTCAATCCA